AGGGGGAAGGATCTTAAAGTCACCATAAGTCTCATAAAAATATGCAGCTGGGGAAAGAAGAGAGACCCTCTTGGAGCCCCCTGCTGAGGGAAAGGCTAGTAAGCTCACCCTTGATTAGACATCAGAGAATCCACACAGGAGAGAGCCGCTGGAAACCAGGCTTCATTAGTTCCGCTGCTGACGGAACTACTTGTTAAAAAAAGCAAACAGAAATTCCAACATGTGGCATCATACTGACACCCACATTGGTCATCAGCAATCTTAAGATCCACTGCACAGACCTCTGCCACTGCAGCTAGCATGATAAATGACAGCAATGGTAGTTTGTCACCTTTCTCTAGCCTTAGAGGGGGGTGAGGTTCTTTGCCAGAGGAGGACACATTCTTGGGCTGACATGAGACACATGAAAAAATTTAGGAAAATTGGGTTGAATATTTCTAGGCTTTGGAGGGAATGTGGACAAACTTTCTGCCTGACACTTCAAGCTTAATTCCCCTTTGCCCTTAGCCTTCTAGCCTGTTGCAATCCCCTCCCTCCTGCACCAAGACCCAGCCCCACGCTCTTCACCCACACGCACCAGCCTCCTTAACCTCTACTACAGTGGCTCTTCCCTATTCCATTCTCCCAGTTACCATTCTACCAGTTATCTGTCTCCTCTCCCCCATGCTTCTGTTTGTCTGTCCACATCCCATGCTCTCGTCCCTATCTGTACTGCTAATTCTAGGTATCTCCTAATTCTCCAGCTCCTAGCAGATCTGCCTTTCTTCCTCCCCTCAGTCTTGGTCCTTCACAGCTTATCTCTGTGCCATCTCTCCCTTGCAAATAACTCCCCATCATGTCCTTGGCTGCATTCCCTAGTTTCTAGGCTCTAGTGTTTTCTATCCCCTCCTTTTTGATTCCCATCTCTGCTCAAGTTTCCAGACTTTCAGGACAAAAATCAGCTCCAGGCCCTGCCCATATCTCATTCTTGTCTCTACTACATTTGAACCAAGCAGTGCCTTCTCGCACATTACCTCCATGCCCATCAGAGGGGGGAAGTTACTGTCAACACTGGGCACAAAAGACTCCCTTCTGAAGCAGAAGGAGCAGTTGTGACTGAAGGAAAAGCATGCTTGGCCCTTCAGTGCTAGGGTAGAAGATGCTTATTGTTGCAGAGAGAATGCACATGTAGTCCAGCCTGATATAGAAACTGAGAGAGGTCAGAGTGTAATCTATCTCTTCTGTGGTGATAGACAGCCTGGTCAGTGCCTGGAGCCATGCAAGCCTCAAGAAACCTCAAAGAGAATATAATCTTCGCATATTTCAACTACCAAACTAGGAAGCATCTCAGAGCATGCCTGACAGATTTTTTCCAAGCTTACAACTTGGCCAAATTTGACCACATTTTCACAGATACACGAGGCTTATAAAAGCCATAGCCACCAGATTTCAAATCTATTCAAAGCCACGGGAAGCTCACCAAACAGCAAAGCTAAAGGCAGTACAGGGCAGACAACAAGGCTTAAAACAAGACATATCTGAGAACATACCCACCTGCTGTATTCAAACCACTGGCTTCCCCTTGTGTCCCTAATTTCCTCACTAAAGGGGGCCTCCATCCAGCTTCTTTGTACTTTATATCTCAGCTCTGCTTCTTGCTAAACCTTCTAAGGCTTCTGGGCACTTTTTCACCCTGGGCTTACCTCAGAAGCTTCCTATGTCTCTCAGCTGCTTATTGTCTCGTACTGTTCCCACAATCTACTGAAAAGTATGGAAACTCAGAACTAGCAGTGGGGAACAGAGAGTTTGTTGGTTACAGTATGATGGCAAGGCCTTTCTCAAGCCTATAACTTTTCTGTTGGTGTCCCAGGCTCCAAAGCATAGCTCGCAAAACCATTCCAGGCTATAAACTGGTATTCATCTTAGCCTTTACAAAGGCTTATGAAGAGCTCTCTCCTCTTACAAAGAAGAAACTATTTAGAGAACTGTGTTTCAGAGAGAGAGAACTGATGGCCTGGCCCAGATAGGCTGAACCACTTCATCAGTCTCGTCCACTGATCACATCACACCACAAATGTCTAAAAACACACAGGTACAGGCACCAAAACAGTACTAAGAAACAATACTACCGTCTTCAGGACCTATGCTCTCTCTTTCTCAGTGCCTTTTCAAGTACTGAGAAGAAGCCACATGCTTCACACTGCCAGCATCTTACTAGAAATACTCTTGATGCCAATCTCATTTTCCACAGAAAAAGTAAAATTCTACAAAGATGCCAGAGAAGATTAACGAAGAGCTGACAATGAATCCAGACAAGACCAAAGTGACATTACTCATGAAGGAAAATGCTTCACAGGACTGGGCTAGATGCTGTCCCCTGCAGGTGCAAGCATTCTTCTAAGGGCACAAAGCAAAGCACCAAGGACTCTGCCAGACTAATCCTAAGACTAGATGTCCAAGATCTGCAAGGAACACCATCACTAACAAAAGCCTCATACCTTTTCTTACAAAGAAAAACCTAGTCACAAAGATTCTTGCACCACTTTCACAGCAGACTACTAATTCACTGCTAGAGATGACCCAGCAGCAAACCAGCTGCCATTTGCTGGAACAGGAATCTCTATATTCAGTAGAGAATGGGATGAGCTGCAATATGAATATCACCTTTGGGCTCCAATTCCTTTCAAGTCTGCCTTGCTGTGCTGCTTGTTCAAGGCCTTACTCTGTCTTCACCAATACACTAGGAGTCAGAAATTAGGGAAATCAGCCACCTGCACAGGCACTCAGGACAAGAGAGCTCACAGAGCTCAAAGAAACTTAAAACCAAAAAATAATTACATCTGACAAAATAACCCCAGGCTTTAGGAATTAGGTATTTAAAAAAAAAAGTCGTATTGATCAATATAGTACAACTCCTTTCAGGCATGTGACTCGATTGTCCTCAGTGTATCATCATAAGAATCAGTGAAATCATACAAATGTAGACATATGAATACCACAAGCAACTCCTCCTCCAGCCTCAGAAGGGCACAGGAGTAGATGAACCTCACCCACAGTCTTAATTTAGCTAGGATATGTCTGCATACTTTAGTAACGGGAACTACCCAAATCATCCTCTAGAATGCAGGTGTCCTCTGAGTTTTAACTTACAAGTCTATTCATATGTATATTATGGAGAAACAATTTTACTGTATTTCACAAAGGTTTTCTCTCCCACAGCTCCAAGAGAAGATAGCATTTTCCTTTATTTTTTCAACAATTATTTTTAGTTCCAAACTTGCACATCAAAAGCATCAGCCAAAGAGAAGATCCTAAGGAGGGCAGAAGTACTCCTTGGTGGTCTTCAATAAATCTCAATTTAGCTATCTTGCACCTTAGCTCTGCTCAGAGGAAGAGATATTACACTCGGATTAAACATGAAGACAGGAAATCTTCCTGATTACATGTTCCTACATATAAACTTATTTGGTTTTTTTTCCCCGCAAAGTCTTTTTCATGAGCTGTTACACAGACTGTGCGTGTTCATAAAGTTTCTGCTGAGTCACTCCACCTGGTCTTGGGCATTTTTCTTCCAAACTTACAAGTAAACAAGGAGCTATAATTAAAGCCCTGGTTCAGCTTTAATTCTAGTGTTCACTGCCAATTGTGTCCCCTGTAAATACATATTTAACAACCTAATTAGCAACCCAGACTGTAAGCAGCTTGAGTAGTGTGGAATTGTGGCTAAGGCCCAAAATAAATGGTGGGATTACAAATAGCAAGCTACCTAACACTCCCACCCCTCTTCACCATACGCTGATTATATTTTCAAAGTGGAAGAACTGGGACATCGGGTAAGAGAATAAAAAGGCTGATCCAAGCTCTGGTTTTGTACCCATTTAACTGTGTTGATTTCAAAATGTAAATATTTTTTAAATGCTATAGTTAAAAATGAAACAGTGCCTGGGGTGGATGCACTGACTCTGTGTAGATGCCTTCACATTGTTATGACTTAATTCCAGAAACTTAACTAAATCTGCACAAAAAAAAAAAAAAAAAGAGGGTCTAGGATGGTTAAAGGGAAACTGAGACAGGATCATGGGCACATAGTAGGGACATGAGAAGGGCTAGAGACCATCTCTTATTTCTGTTTCCATTTGGCTACTACTTCGCCTCTTAATCATCCCTCAGAAATACCTATCACTAAATCACCCATACGTGCTCCTGCTTCCCAACTAAGACAGACCATCACATCTCTTCCCTAGCACTTGCCTGCTCTATCCAGCTCCCACCTTTTCTAAAACATCCACATTCTTCATCTTCTGATTTAAATATTTTCTCCTAGCTAATCTCTCCCTTTCCCACCACTCAACTTGTAAACTCAAGCCACATCCCTCCAAGCTCAGAAACCCAACCTCAGGGCTTAGAACTCTTCCCCCTCTTATCTGATACCCTTAGGGCTCATAAATACCCTTATACCTAATTCAGAATTATTTGTCTTTCTGTTTTGTTGGGAATGCTGAAATATGAGATCATAAGGGGCAATGCACACAGGAGCAGACACTGTCACCACAGTTCACTTCCTGCTCTGTGTGTCTCCAGTTTGTAGTCTTTACACTGGACAGACTGGAGTCCTAATTCGGGGCCCCTGTGTACACTAGGGCCCCAATTGAGAAGTGCTCCAGTTGCACCAGACGGTACTGCATTCTGCAGTACACCAGCCGTGCTACCTGGCTGTGGCATCAAGTTCAGCCTCCGTAACACCCTGGTCATTAAGTAACCTAGTAACATTAACATCTGTATATTCAGGAAATCAAGGCTGTCCACTAAGAAGGAGAACCTTAGCTTTGGGTCAACCCATCAGCTCGCAAACATTCCTGATTAGAGAGAAAACAACTCTTTCTGCAGCTGAAAGATTCCCTAGTCAGAGACTCTACAGGGAAAACGCAGAGATCTCTTCTTTCCCATGTAACCGTCTGAAGGGTTAAATACACCCCCACCCCCATGCAATGTTACAGTCAGGGTTTAATGCCGCTCCCCACCTGTATGTCTTGCCATCCTTGTGCTGGTCCTCATCATCCTCGTTTGACAGCACAAAGGGGTCGCTCATCTCTGGCAGCCCTGACTCCTGCAATCGTTTCTTCTTCCGGCCCCGGGGTGGTTTGGGGGCAACTCCCCCACCCCCGCCACCCCCACCACCTTCGGAGAGGGTGGTTGTCCCTTTCTTGGACAGGTCAGGAACCACCTGGAGGGCTGCCTGGGAGCCAGGGGGTAGCGCAGAGACAATCATGGGAGCTGAGATGGGAAAGGTTTGGGCAGAGGAGGCTGTGGTCACCAGGGAACCTGATGGGGAAGTTATCACCAGACCAGGACCTGCAGAGAAAAACAGACAGAGGAAGTCAGTTATTACATCTCTGATTACATCCAACCTCCTTATCCCACAGAAGCGAGCTTTATACACCTACTTTTGACTACAACACAAACAGAAGAGTAGCCTACACACCCCCAGTCTCCACTGCTGGAAGTCAAACTTCCATACAGAGGATGGATGTACGGAGTGCCTAGAGATTCACAGTGAAACCATGCCAAGGCAGTCCACACCATCAGTAAGGCTAGGAATAATCTACAGACAGAAAAGGATTCTCCAGGACTGTCCGCCCTCCCATCCCGGAGTCTCCTTCATACGTTGCCAAAGTCTTTGGGGTCCCCTACCTGCTGTCATGAGCCCAGCAGACTGCACTGGTACCACGGTGATGTTCTGAGTCACGGGGGCTTGGCTGTGTGGTGTCAGCTGCTCTGGCTTGGTGTCCGAGTCCATGGAGATACCAGTGGGTAGGGCCACAGAAGTGGGTACTGTCAGCAAGGCAGGGTAGTGGGGGGGAGCCAGGCTGCAGCCCTTCTCTGTGGGCAATAGCTGCTCCTTCATCTTGTTAATAAACATGGTGTTCTCAATCTAAATGGGTGGGAAGAACAGCTTTTAGAATACCCTGGCACAGCTTCTCCCAGCAGTTGGCTGAGCAAGACATACAACAGAAACACTTATCATGCATGAACTTCTAACAGGAAGCAAGACCAGCATAATATGTTGGAGGACAAAGATCTTACCTGTCCCGAGACGGTGGGCACTGCTGGCCAGAAGTACGGGGAGGAGTTGAAATGAGATTCTTCCATCCTAGCTGGGCACAGGGGGGAAGAGGAAGGGGGAAGGGAAGAGGAATGGAGGAGAAGGAAGACAGACAGACAGACAGACACACACACAAAAAGAACATTAAACCCAAAGAGACTCCAACATGGAACTGACTCAGTCTAATGCTGTGACAGTTCCTTAATCTCCCCTTTCTTACTTGAGCAACTTCTCCCCGTTTTCGAGCTATCTGCCCAAATACAAAGATTATTTTCAGGGGAGGAAGGTGTCTGCTATTCCCACAGGCTTGGGTCCATCTCAAACGCCTCTTGCCCAATAGTCCTCCATGCAAAAAAAAAAAAAAAAAAAAGGACTGACTATAAACCCAGAACACCTCCAAAATTCCCCAATTATCATTCACCCAAGTACATGGCATAAATGATGAAATCTGTGCATCTGCAACCAGGCAAATACAGCTGAAAACCATTTTTCACTGTCACAGACAGTCTGACCCCACAGGCAGTCAAAATTTTGGACCCTGCCTGTCCCTCCACCCCAGCTCAACACTAAGGACCCAGATGCAGCAAGGGAACATTAGCATTGTGTTACACAGAAAGAAAGACAGGCAGAAAGAGGGAAATAGACTTGCCCAAGATAACAGACAGCCACAGCAGACCAAGAAGTCAAACTTAGGGCTCCCAACTTCCTGCTGCCCACTGCTCTGACCACCCCAGCCCCACTCTCAGAAGAAACCCAGAAATATCATTTAATATTCTTGACAGACAAGATCCTCCTCTCTCATCCAACGAGACCAGGCAGCAGAAAAACCACCTGACTACCTTGCTCCTGAGATTCGCCATTTCCAAGCAAGATCATGTCACGGTTCTCTATTGCCCATTTCATTCCCATCTTTGGGACAAGATTGTGCAGGACTCTGTCCCCAGTCAAGTGCCCACTGCGCCATCTCAACTCTCCATGCAGTCAGAGGACCAGTTAGACACCAAAAGATCACCGTCTGAAGACAGAGGCATAATCCCTTTAGGAGCACCTGGCTGAAGAAGGCCTCTCCATTCTAATCCTGACATTCCTCTGTGTAATAGCATTAGCAGACAAAGTTTGTTACATTCATGAAAATGCTATTCAAAAGCTAAAGAAATTCACAAAAGAATATTTCCTGAAGCAGAAGATGCACCCGTTCCTGAACAAATATGGCAAAACTGGTAGGTAAAATACATGTGGTAGAAACTACGCTCAGAGAACATCTGGCAGAGCAAGCTGCTTAGAGAAGGCAAGCACTCTAAGTTTCTCATGCAGCTACCTGCAAATTGTCCCACTCCTATTTCTGTTATGATGTGGCAGTAGTCTAATTAATGAGTAAATACTGTTTCTGAAGGGCCTGTCTCAATCATCAGATAAGCTAAGGAGCATGCCCCAAGTAGCATGAAACACGTACTTTCCAGAAGAGTATTAGGGCAGAATAAATACATGTGGGATTGCTGCGTGTGAGCCAAAATGCAAAGATAATTTTCCTCTATGTAGAGAAGCAGTATTTAAATGAACCAAATTACCTGATAATTTTGTTTTTATGAATTGCTCACGCAACAGCAAAGCCAAGTATTCCTGCCTCACTCACTCACTACAAATCAACCAATAAACACACTTAAGGATGAATTATTTACCTTGCATCGGTGGCATGCAGTCAGATTGCCAGCTGCCTGACTGAATTACTCTGGATTTACACTGCTGTGATTCAATCAGAATCTGATGGGGCAAGACTCTTACCTTCCCTCCTGCGCTTTCTTTTCTGAGACAAATTAATTATTAAGTACACTGCCTACAGCAAGGCCCTATGCATGTAACACCTAATTACATGACTTTCTTCTTCCACAGGATGGACACACATGAAGAGATAACGCATTCTTGGCAATTGAGCACCACCTGAATCAAGAGGGGGTTTTTGTTTGGAATGTCAGGTTTGGGTTTTCTGGGTTTTTGTTTGGTTGGTTCTGTTTTTAAAATAAGTAAGCCCTTATTTGCTCAGCTACCACATCAAAAACATCCAAGTGAACCTGATTCTGTAAAAACATAAAGTCTCATATAATAACCAGATGCATTTTCCAAGTAAACTTTGTAATTGTCCAAGACTCCCCTGGATTCAACTGCAAACTTCAGGAGTTAAACAGAAAGATACCAATTTAAACAAAAATCTCACAACAGCTTTCTTATCTAAAGAGTACAAGTTGTGAAAGGCAACTCCATTTCCAGATTCTAAAACCCAGCCTGGCACAGGTGAGGGCACTCAGTGGCTGCCTGTCTCCATCTAGTCTCCAGCCAGAACTTCACAGAGCAGAGCACCTAACTTTTGTTTGCTTAGTTTACAAAGTGTGCAAGTCAAAATAAGGCTCTTACTGATTCTCAAAAGATGACTACACTGTTTTCATTAAACTTTCTTAGAATCCACCTCCCCATCCAAAAATCTTCATGCTTGACCGGCTACCAGGCCTCAAAACTTTTGGCTTGAAAGGCTGAAGCATGATGAAGTTATAAGAACGTGGAGGAAGAGGAGAAATGGTGTAAGAGTGGAAGCTTTCATGCAATCTCACTAGCAAGCCAGTCTTCTGAAGTGAGAAAACAAAGATAAGATTCCTCCACCAAACTACTCCCCTAAAACCCCCAGCTGTCCCTCCCCTACCCCGCTTTTAGGCTAAAGGATATTTTGAAAACATGCACCCCTATTTGCAGCCCCCACTTTAACGCTGCTCACACTTACTTTACCAGAACTCTGCACGTAACCCTTCCAATTGCTCTATAACTACCAGACATGGGCTGGAGCTTCAACCCTGTACCACAGCACGTTCCCACTGCAGTGCCTTCATCATCCCAGCTTCCACAAACAGGCCAGAGATGGGACCTTCTTCCTATTCACCAGTCTAGTATCAGACAGATGTCAACGTACCCTCCTGATATAAACCAAAAACACCTTCTATGTACAGACCACAAATGTACATACACCAAATAAACAACCGAGTGAACCAGAGAACTCACAAGGGACAAGGAATCTGGAGTTTAGATCTCAGAGTACTTCACAGAATCACATACTTAACGTGCTGGACTTATACTTCTTTGCAGGTCATCACTTTAATCATAAACACACAGATAAAAGCACGTGCAAGTATACGGTGAGGTAGAGGCTGTGTTTCTGGAAGGCATAATCAAGGTTGGATATGCAGGTATTTAGAGGTTGACTTTTAATACGGTTTTCTTTATTCTCCAGATACCTAGCTTTTATTTTCTAGTCAGTGTAGAGTTTTCAGTTGACAAAAGGTCCCGAGGATGACACTCGGGAACGATTTACAAAGTCGTTTTATGTCTGCCCAAGATCTTTGTTCAATAACAAGGAGCTTTTAGGCTTAATTGCTGCAAAATACTAAGGATGCTGAAGGCCACGCAGGCTATTAGGTCAAATGCAAAAACGCCTCCACGAAGTTCATAAGCACCAAAAAGTTCAAGCGCCACTACGTCTTTGCAATGAGCACATCTGGATGCACGTCAGGAATACCCCAAACATGCCGGACAGAGTCCTGAATCCCAAACCCACACACCAGAGCTGGAACAACTTTGGTGCCGCTTGCTGACACATGCGTAGCTTCCACCCCAACCGGCCGAGCCTCTGTTGGAAGAGGTGCCTGGCAGGGGACGTACCCTGCGCCTTGGCTCCTTCCAGGCAGACTCCATCCCCCCTCCCGCACCCCGGAGCTCAAGTGACTTCGAGCCCCCAGTGTCAACCTGCGGCCCGTCCCGTCCCCCCCAGCGCGGCCGGAGAGAGCCCCCGGGGCGAGGGGCGGGGGTCACTCACGCAGCTCCGGGAGCTCCTTACCCCTCTCACTCTCCCTCCTCTTGCATTTCTCCTCCTTCCAGGGCCGTCTCTGCAAACAAACCGCCAGGGTTACGGGGGCGCCCGGCGCCCTGCATGACAGCGGGCGGCGCAACGCGGGGCCCCCGGACCCGCCGGCCACGTCCAGCCCCCGGGGGAGC